TCCTTCCTTCCTTCCTTCCTTCCTTCCTTCCTTCCTTCCTTCCTTCCTTCCTAGTTCCAGAACAATAAAATGCAAATTCAGTGCATAAAAGTACAAGAATATCCAATCTGAAACAATTAGTGATGGAAAAGAAGTACTTACTCACTTGTGGAAGTCATAGCTATTGCTAAGAACTTGGCATGTAAGAGTATACCAAAAATTCAGCATTTCAGAAATGATCAGTAGCAGGGCCATTTAGATGCTGTCCAGTCCCTGGCACCCCACCCATCACATAGACAAAGAATCAGGGTCATGTTACAGGCCAGACTGGGTTAAAATGGATAGTTTGTGATGCAGCCTTTTGGAGGAACCCAGCTATAATCATAGCAAATTGTGATCTTAGTTTATGGTTCAATTATGGTCCAAGCCCAAACAGCTGAGATGAATAAACCATGGTTTTATTAGGCATGGGTTAGTAAAATGTGTTTATGCTTGCTTGGGGAAGAAGACCTAACATTCCTGGCTAATCTGCACCACAATGCTAGTCTAAATCAGAGCTTTCCACGGCTGCTACGTTCACCTTAAAACAGACACGGACTTGTAGCACCCCAAATAACAAACCAATGTTTAAGTACGTGTATCATCACTGCAAAGCAAAATACAAAGAGGGATTTGCTGTATTGGGGGAGGACAACTAGGTTAGTCCAAGATAGCAAAAACCAGGAGTCTGCTAGTACCTTTTCTAACAATTTTTATTAGAAGTCATAAGCTTTTAATTTAATAGATTAATAAAACGTGCAGGTGGAGAAGGTGCGACCAGACTCCTCGTGATTTAGCACACATACGCACACCCCTCCCTGCTAATTCCAGAGGAGGGGGCCGGACTAATTGAACTTGTCCTTCACCTGGGGGGGGGGGGACGCCGAAAAACAAAGGGTTTCTGCTCCAATGTCCATCGCCGGGTCGCTCTTCTTCCTCCCCAGCAGAATGCAGAGGAAGCGTCTGTAGGTCAAGGCAGATTTCCTCCCCAAGGTGAGCAATGCTATTTCAGCAAGTGCCAGCCTGCTTCAGAGGAAGGATTCCCCGGCCAGGTGGCCACACCCTCCTTTTGCTCCAAAGCACCATGCTGCGTGCCATCCCAGACGGCATTCTGTGCCAAGCCAGAATGACACAATGCCTAGCGGTGTGAATGCGAGTGCAAGCCTTGGGCGTGAAGATCAGGCATTCGTGCAATTTAAAATTAAAAACTCACAGGCAGGCTGCCAACGGTGACCTCAGGAAGTTGAAGAGAAGGGTGGTGGAAAGTCAGACAGACTGACGGTTGCTAGTTCAGGCTGGTTGGGATGGGAAAAGGAAGAGGAAGAGGGGGATTTAGCTACAGCCAGAACTGGCCACAGCTTGGCCTATTTTTTTTTTTTAATCCAAAGTTTAGATAGCAGAGGAAAACCTTTCTGAATGACAAAGGAAAACATGCTTTGTTTGGAAAAGATGCTTTGGGGCAACCTGTGCAGGCAAGCACAAAGCCCAGAAAAATCTAAAAAAACAGAAGAGTCCCTGTTCTGGACATACTTTTTCCCTGGAAGGAGGCCAACCTAGAATAAAGATTTGTGGAAGCAGCAAATAAACCTGAGCTTTAAAATGTTGTTGCTTTAAGGCTGTTCTGAATTGTGGAAGAATTGGACCCTACTGGGTAAAATGTCCTTCTGGCCTATGTGGAGATTGTGGGGCATGGGTGTGCATGGGGGGGGGGGGGGACGATCTAGCTGCAATCTTGTTGTCAGATAATAAGATTTGTCTTCTTTCTGCTTTATAGTATCTCTCATTTTACAAATGAGGGAGGTTGAGTAAGAGACCCTGGCTGGTCTACGATTTACCCTACTGATGACCAGCATATGAAGAATTTTCTGATTCCTTGGTTGTTTCAAAATTCAAAATGGAAAGGGTTCAGAAGACTCAGAAAAGGTATTTGGGATTTCCTAAAAGTTCAGTATTTATTAAGTCCAGAAACTGTTGGAAATCTTACCCAAGCTTGATTTACATTTCCTCATAAACTACCAGCCATTGATTCTGCTGCCATCAAGCCTCTTCTAGCAATCATAGTTCAACAGTCCCCATCTTTTTGCTATTGGCTCTTCAAAAACGTGGAGGGAGGACTTTCCTTTCAGTTGACCTAATGGAGCTATATCTATCACAATATGATCAGGAAATAATAACTGGAAAAATAAAGGCATAACCTTGTTTCAGAGGACGCAAAAAAATGAAAGATTCACAGGCTCCATTCACAAAACATACTCAACCTAGTTAATGAACCCATTTTTTTAATGTCCACATAATACACTGAAGCATCAACTAGTCCAACAGGTTGGTTCCTACAACACTCTAAGCCACAAAAAACGAATTTAAAAAGAAGAACCTCATCTCACTAAATATGCAGTATGTGTTGCTCTTCATCTGACCCACCTCACTCTGGTCTCTTGGGGGGGGGGTTGGGGGGTCACAGCTGTTTCCTCTGCATCAATTGCCCTGGGATAGACCTGCCAATGTCCCATTGCACAATGTGAAGTTGCTACTGCAGCATGTCCTCGTTGCACAACCGCACGGCTGTTGCGTTACAAAGGAGGAATGAAGGAGAACTGAAAGCCAGCTTTCATAAAGAGCTGGGGGACCATCTTCTAAGGAAAGAGAAAAGGAAGCCACCAGATATGACTAAATCATGGTGGGCCAACATTATCCTGAGTCTTGGAAAATGCACAACAGCATCCCTGAGTCAACCCTTGAGGTCAGGTCCGAAGAAACGCTACTGAAGCAAAACCTGTCTGTCCCCTTCCGCTTCCATAGGACCACTTCCCCCTTCTCTCTCTCTTGCCAGACAAGGGGAAAAAGTGCCGAGCACAAAAGCCAGAAATATCAAAAGCATGAGGTAGGGAGTCAGATGAATCCACTGGCTGAGTTTGTAACACGCTGAACTTGCTTACTGAATTAACCCACTTTCTGGTTAATTCAATGTCAGCTGGTAAAGTAATCAATCAGGCGGGGTTCACACCCTCAGGCCTCAGGTACAAACCACAGGGACACAAAACTGATGGAATGGGTGTTGTGACATCGCGATGCAAGCTCCACCCCGATGTACTTGCACGTGTCATCACGGTTTGCACCACAAGGTACACTTTGCCAAATGCTCTCCACCTCTATCGCATGTTCTCTGAACACTGTTCTCATGGGCTTCTGCAGGAAACCAAGGACTGTCATGGGGAAGAGTGTGTAGATTTCAACAGAAGAGAATATATGAAGCTCAGGGCTGAACTGTGGAGTCCTTGGTGCTCTCTGAGCTTGGGGGTTTGATTGCAGACGTTTCATTACCCGACTAGGTAACATCATC